CCCCAAAACCCCAAAACCCCAAAACCCCTTGATTAAATAAATAAGTGATGATTATGAAGTCAGAGAAAATTAAAAAATAAAATAAATATTAAAATAGATTTCTATTATAACATGTCAAAATATCGCGATCATGTGCAGTTGATGGATGCCGTGTACAGTTAGAAGCCAGGAATTAAGTCACATAGAAAGAAAAATGACCAAGGAAAGAGCAACAGAAATCACGAGTATAATAATTAGTTTGAAGATCTCAACAGTCCAATCCGTTGAATAGATTACTCCTAAGATAGATTGCCACCTCTTGATATGACTATGACTCCTACTAGAATGTCTACAAATCTCCCCTTGGAATCCTCCTAATCAAAACAAAACTAGTAGTAGATAATAATGTTCAATAACATTTATTTTGCTCCTTTCCTAGAGTTTGAGAATTTTACTGACAGTTAGAAAGAATTATTTATGCAGACAGGTGACTACAGCTAGATTTAAGCACAGTAATAATAATATATTCAGTTGCAGCAAATGCAATAGCAATAATAGATGTAATTACAAGAGAGATAGTAGATTACTAAGCTACCAAGAGATTTGAAAAATAATAGAGCGAACTAATTCCAACATTAATAGGAAAACATTCAAAGATTTGATATAGATTTGAATACTGAAAATATCATGCTACCGAGTATAAAGGAAAACAATCAAAGCAGAGGCACTTAGAACAGCCAAAATAATAGTTCAAACTATTCATACAAGCAAAGTAAAAATCTCAGATAATTGATAATCGAGAGGGATGCTGGCTAGGTTAATAACATCAAGCTAGGTGGGCATCGAGCTGTTATAAACTAAAAGAGACACAAGTATCATAAGTCTTCCTATGCCTATGACGATTAGTCTCAAAATCCAAAATTTAAGAAAGCTTAATGGAGTCCAAGATCTACTCAGAATAAAGTGTTTTTTGAATAGCAGTAGGAAGCTATGCAATAAATTCTTTAGTAATAAAATGAAATACCACACAACTAGTTTAAACCTGACCCTTATTTTAGTCCAATTAAGAGCAAACGAACCCAAAATTTGAGTCAAAGTTTTAATTTTGACAACTAAAAGCAATTCTAGAAATCAGATATGGAGTCATTCACTTAGCTCAGTCAAAATTAGCAACCAGCTGGATTTTTTATTGTAGCTGATCCATAATCTGGTTTCACTAAGAGGTAAAACAGTATCATTCTCGAGTAATAGAAGAGGTAGAGATAAATATTGACTAAAAATACAGGATATGGAACTGCGTTTGAATAAAGATAGAAAGAATACTGCAGTGATCTGTATCAAAGCTTCAAGACCTAAACTAGTCCTACTGATCAATATCTCGCAAATCAAATAAATCAAACTATGAACACGACAATAAACTAGAGTTCATAAAATTCTAAAACAAACCTTACTTCACTGAGATAAACTTTCAATAACTCTAAAAATTTTAATAATCCAAAAAAGTCATATTATAGTCATCACCAATCTCATAATCACCATCATTAGTTGGCCTAAACTACTTAAAACACACCTTAAAAGACAGGATTAGTGAATTTAAAGCATTAGTAGTAGCCATTATAGTTGCAGCCGAAATAAAATGTCAATCGAAATGCCAGTAAATAATTTCAAACAGATAAAATTTAAGACAAGAAAGCTAAAAAAGAGTATATAGATTATATTGATAAACTTAGAAATGAAAACATGACTTAAGTAAATTTACCGTCAAGCACTACTATTGATAAACCCTAATTGCTCCGTAACAAATAAATGAGCCCAACCTAAAGTAATAAAAAAGAATAAAATGAAGAGCCGAAAAAGAAAGTCAACATTAATATTAACAGCAGTAGATTAATGAAGAATGAGTTGAATCTAAAAGATCAGAAGAAGTAGCTGAAATAAACCTTTGGCCTTGATATAGAATAGTCCAGTCCAAAAGATGATAAGAAAAGATCAAAATCACCCAAAAACAGATACAAATTTTTCAAGTCAAGTGATAAGGATAAATTTTTCCCTTATGATTAAGAGTAATCTATTGTACCAAAGCCAAAGTTCATTGGAAGAGTTAGCAGTAGATTAAAATAGTTATACGAAAAGAAAGATGACTAAGATAGAAGTATGCTTTCAAGAGGTAAAGTTTTAGCAAAATCATCTCGAAAACTTATTGATGAGTCAAGACTTTCACCAAAACAACTAAAGAAATATAAATAAGATTAGGCGATGGATAGATTAGCATTTCCAGATAAGCCTTGCAGGTCAAGCTGTAGTACTGTGCATAATCATAAATGGCAGGAGAGATCGTTGCAGCATAAGAGAACTTATTCAACCATTAAAATAGCTTTAAAACCAATATAGGTAGAAAGACCACGAAGTGCAGAGACTACACTTAAAGATAAGTAAAAGTATATGTTATCAATAGATTGGGAAAAATCTGAACTATTTAAGAATATTTAAGAAGGCAAAGAAGATTCCAACAATAATCATGATCTAGATATTTATAAAGAGATAGAAGTGAATTATATGCAGAGTATTTTGAAAAAGAAGAAGCACGATAATGACATTTTACCTCCAGAGGAAGTGTAAAAAATATTTGAGAAAGCAATGAGGACCTTAAAGTACTACATGGATGAGCTCATGCTAACTAAATCATATGAGGTGATTGAATCATAATATTAAACCTAAGAAATAAAGTAGAGCATTGATAATTGTATCAAAGTGCTACTGAGATGCAAGAAAATATTTGAAGTGCGTTCAGATATTATCAGAATCTTGAAAAGCATAGGAAGGAGAGACAAAATAAAATCTCAGATTAAAAGATTGATTTCAGATGTGGATTAAGTGAAGAGTTAGTATGAGAATTTAATAATAATATCAAGCAGAATGTACAGTGATATCAAAATGATTTAAACTGAGCATAGAAATTTTAGAAGACCATTCATATTTAACATGCAAGAATAGACGGACTATTTGAAAAAAGACTGCCACTATGTAAAGAAAACGATAGAGGAATGCCATGAAATAGAACTAAAATTATATTTAAACGACGAGGGTCGTATGCAAAATATAGATGATTTATTATTATAATAAGAGGAGTGAATAGCATCTTGATTTTAATATTAATGGTGAATACATTGACTCATTTATTTAGAAATATTTTAATTTTGCACTAAAAAACATTATCTAAGATTACTTCATCATGGGGTTTTGGGGTTTTGGGGTTTTGGGG